ATTTTTTCAGACCCATGACAAATGACACTTACCTTTATGCAATTAAATTGACTTTTATAGGTTGGTTTGGGATAGTAAGCAACACACATAACATTATTCCTATGAGAAAATGCATTCTCAGTCTCAAACCACTTAGGTATACATAAAAGTCAAGCACTGGGGACTTTCTATACTTACTTATATTATCCTCATTAATAATACCTTACATTTATAGAGTTTTTGTTGTTGTTTGTCCAAATCTGTGATTCCATTCATGTAAGAAATTTCCAGAGAGAGCATTTCCCCTACTAAAGAAGACCTGTAATTGTATGCCAACTTAGAGTCTTGGTTGCCTTGGACAACAAAATGAAGTTATTTTCCAAGGATCACACAATCAATATGTGTCAGAGGCAGAACTTGAACTCAGGTTTTTCTGGCTTCCAAGCCTGGCTTGCTATCCACTTCTCCATGCCATGATCCCTCTCCAATAACTCACATTTATATTGTTCTTTATTTTTATATTGGGCTTTTACAGAACTAATTTAATCATAACAACAACCTTGTTAAGTGGATAGGTATTGTTCATTTTTTTTTCATTTTTGTGAGACGATGGGGGTTAAGTGACTTGCCCAGGGTCACACAGCTAGTAAGTGTCAAGTGTCTGAGGCCACATTTGAACTCAAGTCCTCCTGACTCCTAGCCTGGAGCTCTAGCCACTTTGCCACCTACCTATAACAATAGGTATTGTTATAAAAAAAAAAAACCTCTTGTTTTGAGGGCCTGGTCTTCCTTATAACAGACCATTTCTGCTGTAGATAAATCCCTTTCTATTGCCTGGACCTTTCCCACCCCACCTCTACCTCCACCTTTTTTAGGATTCATCTTTGCCTAGAAACTTCTATGCTTGAAACTTCGATTTCCCATTCTATTATGCTAATTGTGATTTTCCTGCCTGTCAAATCAGAAATTTCTGAGTAGGCCTCCCCCTCCAAAAAACAAAACAAATCCCTAGCTCTATTCAACATCCCTGAGATCCATTATATATGAAATGACAGTCCTAGAAGTTTACCCATCAACTGGAAGAAGTTGGTGGAATGTTGTACTAAGTCCAAGGGGTAGCATCTTAAAGGACCATTGTGAACTCTTTTTTCCTGCTCTAGACTGAAGACCTTTGTGATTAAGGTTCTAGGTTGCATCTCTTCCTTGTCTTTGCCATCCCTGTTTTGCAACCCCCTGCTTTAGTTTGGCAGGGTGTGGGTGCTATCCTGGTGTCCTTCCTTTGTGGTGTTATCTTTCCTTTTGTGTTCCCAACCTTGATGTGTCTAGCTAAACCATGTAGACTTCTCTTGTTCATGTCAAAAAGGCCTATTATTTTCAGCATAGTATCTCTGGTCTAATTCTTGAGAGCCCTATTTAAATCCCAAACGGAAAGGAAAGTGCAAATGACTTCCAGCCAAAATGGCTATCAGAATGGGAGTCAGACCAATCAACTCCCACATACTTACTATCTCTACCCCAAATCTGAAATTCCCACTAGACCACATAATGATCAAGAAATCCAATAAGAAACTATATGAAGTGATTTTGTTTTCCCACTCGAGTAGTACATTAAAAAAGTCAGGGTGCATTAAAAGTCAGACAGAAGTCCAAGGGACTCCAGCAAAGCCAGCATCACATAAACAAACAAGCCAGCAGTCTCCTCGAGTGACCAGAGATAAGAAAGAGCTTAATGGGTCCTGAGACCTGTTATGGAAAGTGCAGAGGGCTCCCTAAGGAGGCTTCAGGCTAGTCAGAGAATCCCAGGGTGATCAGAAAGCTTTAGGATCAGGACCTTGGAAACCCAGAATAGCTGCAGTAATCAACACAGGGCCACAGCGCTCACACCGGAATACCTCAGACCCAGGGACTTTTAAGTCCCTAGAATTCTTTCCTAAGACACCTGATAGAGCCCTGAAGGGCCAACATTCTGAATTTCAAAGATCAAGAGGGCCTGACCCTCAGAACTAGAAAGTCAGTACAGGAACCCAGATGACCCAGGGAGAGATTACTCCATCTAAAAACACATCATATGACAGAGCCTGCCCCAAGATAAAAGCCTGGTTCAGGAACTAAAATGAGATGAGTAAATAAAAAAATATATCAACCAGTATTATCATAGATGTAGAGATCCCTCCCTCTCAAAAAAAAGGAACAAGTAACTCTATAAGCAAAGACTCAAAGAAAAAAATTGGGTTTTCCCCATAGATATGACATGAATATTTAGAAGAAATAAGGCAAAATATTTTTAAATGAAATTAAAATTCTGGAGAAAAAGAATTGGAAGGAGAATAAATAGCTTAGAACAGAAAGTGGTAAATCTTACCCAAGTAACAGACTCCCTAAAACTAGAATAGACCAATATGAACTCAATTAACTCCATGAGACAAGTAGTAGAACAAAATAAAAGATTAAAATATAGGAAAAAATATAATATATCAAGCTATCACAAACAGCTAACCTGGAAGACAAGTAAGGGAGAGATAATTTAAGAATCATGGGACTCCCTGAAAAATGTGATTTTTAAAAAATCCTGGACATTATCTTTCAAAAAAATCATAACTGAAAACTGCCCAGATCTATCAGAACCAGAGAGTCAAATGAAGATAGAATGAATTTACTTATTACCTCCTAAAAGGAAATGTCCTAGGAATGTTATACTCAAAATCTAGAATATCTATGTCAAAGAAAAATTACTGAAGCATCCAGAAAGATGCGCTTTAAGTACCAAGGAGCTACAGGTTCTTACAACACCTCACAGTTCTACTATAAATAAGAAGAGTTCTTAGAATACAATATGCCAAAAGGCAAAAGTCACAGGTTTAAAATCAAGATCTTATCCTAAAACAAACAAACAAAAACCTAAGTATAATCCTATAGAGGGAAAAATGGATCTTTAATGGAATAAAAGATTTTTAAACACTTCTGAAAAAAAGACCAAAGCTGAGTAGGAACTTTACAAATACAAACATGAGTCAAGAGAACTCTAGAAAGGTAAATATATTTGAGCAATTCAAAGAAGGAAATAATGGTATAGTGCTAACCTTTAAAAAGAGGGAGAAGAAACAAGTGTCCCTTCAGAACCTTAATGTCTTCAAAGAGGTATTGAGGGAGTTGAATAGGAAAAAAAAAACAGAGGTTCTGGGAGTGGATTGGCACTGTTTTGTGGGTTTGAAAAGGCAATGGGCAGTTAGGTGGCCCAGTGGATAAAGTGCCAGGCCTAGAGTCAGGAAGACTCAACCTTCTGAGTTCAAATTTGACCTCAGACACTTATTATCTGTGTGATCCTGGGCAAGTCACTTAACTCTGTTTGCCTCCATTTCCTCATCTGTAAAATGAGCAGGAGAAGGAAATGACAAACCACTCCAGTATCTTCACCAAGAAAACCCCAAATGAGGTCACAAAGAATCAGACATGACTGAAAAAAACTAAACAACAACAAAAAAGGAAACTCAAAACAATACAATTAAAAGAAGGAAGAGGATACAATTTGCTATTTTTCATAGAAGAAGAATATGAAAAAATATTATGGAGAAAAGTATTTGAAAGTTGCTGTTTAAGTTGAGAATAAAAAGTACTTTTAAAATGAAGAATTCAATACCCAAATGGCTATAAAAATGTGCATACCCTTTGATCCAGCAATACCACTTGTAGGGCTATATTCCAAAGAGATCATACAAATAGGAAAAGGACCCACATGTACAAAAATATTTATAGCAGCTCTTTTTGTGGTGGCAAAGAATTGGAAATTGAGAGGATGCCCATCAATTGGGGAATGACTGAACAAGTTGTGGTATATGAATATAATGGAATACTATTGTGCTATAAGAAATGAAGAGCAGGTGGACTTGAGAAAAACCTGGAAAGACTTGTATGGACTGATGCTGAGTGAAGTGAGCAGAACCAGGAGAACATTTAAACAGTAATAGCCATGTTGTGCAATGATTAACTTTGATAGACTTAGCTCTTCTGAGCAATGCAAGGATCTAAGACATCTCCAAAAGTCTCATAATGGAAAATGCTATTCATATCCAGAGAAAGAACTATGGAGTTTGAATGCAGATTGAAGCATACTATTTGCTATTTTTTTTCCTTCTGTTTTGTTTTGTTTTCTCTTTCTTGGGGTTCCTCCTATTGGTTCTAATTCTTCCTTACAACATGACTAATGTGAAAATATGTTTAATAGGAATGTATATGTATAGCCTATATCAAATTGCACAACATCTTGAGGTTGGAGGTGGGGAGGGAGAGGGAGAAAAATTTAAAACTCAAAAGCTTATGGAAGTGATTGTTGATAAATCAAAATAAATTAATAAAAAAATGAAGAGTTCAAACATTATTATCACCATTTGCTACTCAAAAAAGTGAGGCTTAGGAAAGACAAGTTACTTGTCTACCATCTAGTAAGTGACAGAAGTAGGGATTTATCCCCAGATCAGGTGACTCCTACCTCAGGGTTCTTTCAAAGAATCATAGATGTGAAGCTGGAAGGAACCTTAGAAATTATTTAGTCCAGACCACTTAATTTTCAGATGAGGAAACAGACTCAGAGAGATTAAGTAACCTACCCAATGTCACACAGATAGTAATTGGCAGCAATAGGATTTGAAGTCATGTCCTTTGATTCCAAATCCTGCACTGTCCATACTATATCATACTACTTCAAACCACCCTATTAGAATTTGAGTTTCTTGAGGGTAGGGGTGGTGTTTTTCACTCATCCTTGTCCCCAGAAGCATTCAGCACTAGACCTTGCACACTGTAGGGTTAAATAAATGATGAATGAATGAATCCCAGCTTGGAATTTCCAATATTTATTCTAAAAAAGAGCTCTAATTCTATAATGTAAACCACAAAAAAACAAAACAAAACAAAACAAAACCCACACCCAAAGCTAGAAGTAGAAATTCAAGACACATTATTATTGGAATGCAATAACAATAAAAGCAAATATATTGGGCCTTATAAAAATTGAATATATTTACCCAGTTCATCTTGACAGAAACTGCCTGGTGGGTTGATGTACTTCATGGTGCTCACATCCAGCTTCCAATTGTGCTTTGTGCAACGAACAGACCTGGATGGAAAGTTTTATATAGGTAATGAATAGTAGAGACAGTGTTGCTGGGTATCTCTTAAACCAATATTGTTTTAGCTGATTACTGGGAAAACTCAAATGCATGATTTTTCTGATGAAATTAAACTAGATGATTCTGCAAATAAAACAATCAGAAAGTTGGACTTTTAATAATCTACCTGCCCTTTCTCCACCCCCATCTTGCTGCCAAGATCTCTGAGAACAGAAAATAATTATTATTGGTAATAGGTGATGATAAAAATGTGAGTGAGGACCACGTCTCAGAACAGCATGTATTTTAGGAAATAAGAGGATGGTCTGATCATAGGATAGTTTCTGGTGCTATGTAGTTCTAATAGAAGCTAATATGGGGAAGAGAGTTGACCTTGGATGGAACAAATACTTCTAGAAATAAAAATGTGTCTGGATCTATAATGATGAGGAGTCTACATAATCCCCTACCCTAACACCAAACCACTGGCCATGGGCTACATAGCTGGGTGTGCATGCCACTTTGTAGAAGGCTATACTTTCATACAGAGAGCCTCATTTCAGCTTTTTCAGTTTCAGAACACTAAATAAGGAAGCCTCAAAGTCACATACCCAGGATGTTGATCTAGAGATATTTTTATACAGAAAGTACTAAGTGGTGTGCTGTTATAACTTTTCTTAAAAAAAAAAAAGCTTATGAGTTGTAAGACTTTTTCCCCCATTTTCCATTTCTTCCTTTCCTCCCCCTACTTCACTCAAGTATTACAAAAAGAAGAATCATTTATTAAGCATGTACTGTATGCCAGGCACTGTGCTAGGCACTGAGGATCTAGGTACAAAAAATGAAACAATCCTTACATACAAGGATGTTACGTTCTAATAAGAGATGAGATAACAATTGGGGGAGGGGCATGTAGAGGACGCTGAGGATGGAAATGGTTACAACTAAAAACATCCTGAGGACTAATTTCCAAACTAAAACAGAGGGGAGAAAAAAAAATGAAGGAAAATTGGCTGGCTTGGATATACAAAGGAGTCAAGATGCTCTGTCAAATTCCACAGCAATCAGTAATATCTTTTGGATGCTTTTGGAGTGGGATAAGGAATGGAGATCCTTAGATGGATGGAGATCCTTCAAAGAGATCCACTTCTGAGACCTCATTATGAAATGTTATCAAGGCTATGCTAGAGAAGCATAACCTCCATTGGAAAAACTTTAGGTCCAGGCCTAGCAATGGATCATTTGTCACACAGGGACCAACCCTCCTAACAGTGGGTCTACACCTTATTGAAGAATTGGCCACAGGGTCCTGTTTTTTTTTTTTCTAGTCATAACAACTCAAGGAGACTCCATATGTATATGTATAGCCCCTACTGGGCTAAGTGTTCAGGATACAAAGAAAAGCCAAAAAAAAAAATAGTCCCTGTCTGCAAGGAGTTCATATTCTGATGGGGGAGAAAACATGAAAACAAGTATGTACAAACAACATATGCATGGGATAAATTGGAGAAGAGGGAAGACATTAGCAATTAAGTGAGATCAGGAAAGGCTTCTTGTAGAATATGGAATTTTAACTGAGACTTGAAGGCAACCAGGAGGTGATGAAGAAGAAGAATATTGTAGGCATGGGGAATGAATGCCAGTGAAACTATCTGGAGTAGTGAGATGGATTATCTTGTGTGAGTAACAAGTGGCAAGAAGGCTAATGTCTCGAGTACATGGGATGTAAGAAAACTGGAAAGAGAGGCAGTTAGGTGGTATAGTGGATAGAGCACTGGCCCTGGAGTCAGGAGGACCTGAGTTCAAATTTGGCCTCAGATGCTTGACACTTACTAGGCTGTGTGATACTGGGCAAGTCACTTAACCCTGATTGCCTCACACAAAAAAGGAAAAGAAGAAGAAGAAGAAGAAGAAGAAGAAGAAGAAGAAGAAGAAGAAAAAGAAAGAAGAAGAAGAAGAAGAAAAAGAAGAAGAAGAAGAAGAAGAAGAAGAAGAAGAAGGAGAAGAAGAATGGAAAGGTAGGTGGGGGTCAGGTTGTAAAAGCTTTTGGAAACCAAACAGAAGATTTTATATTTGATCCTGGAGGTGGTGGTGATTGGGAACCACTGGAGTTTGCTAAGTAGCGTTGGTGACCTGTAATTTAAGGAGATCAATTTGATAGCTAAGTGTTGGATAGAGTGGAGTAGAGAGAGAGATCCATCAGCAGGCTATTGAATTGGCCAGGGATGAGGTTTGATGAGAGCCTGTACCAGGATGGTGACAGGAGGAGATAAGGAAGCATATAGGAGAGATGTTACAAAGGTAAAATCAATAGTACTTGGATATGAGGGGTGAAAGAGGGTGGGAAGCTAAAGATGACACCTTAGTTTGTAAGCCTGGGTGACTGGGAGGATAGTGATAGTAATAGGGAAGTTCAGAAGGGCAGAAGGTTTGAGGAGAAAAATAATGAGTTCAGTTTGGAACATTTTGAGTAGAAGATGTCTACAGGGCATCAAATAAAGTTGGAAGAGGGAGGCACTGTAGTAGAAAGAAGAAAGTACCATCTCTGAACTTAAAGGATCTAAGTTCAAATCCTACATCTAATACATACCGCTTGAGTTGTTTCAGTCATGTCCGACTCTCTGTGATCCCATTTAGGGTTTTCTTAGCAAAAATACTGGACTGGTTCGCTATTTCCTTTTGTGACTTTAACTGAGTCATTTATCCTTCCTTAGGCCTACTTTCTTCATAGGCAAAATGAAATAAAACTAGATGCTTTCTGAGATCTCTTCTAGCTCCCTATCTTATGATTCCATTTCTACATTTATGTTAGGTTATTTTGTAACCTCTATTTTCCTGTAGGCCATGACATTGTGCTTTGTTCTTTTTTAATCACTCTTTTTTTTTATTTTTGGTGAGGCAATCAGGGTTAAGTGACTTGCCCAGGGTCACACAGCTAGTAAGCATCTGAGGCTGGATTTGAATTCAGGTCCTCCTAACTCCAAGGTCGGAGCTCTATTCACTACACCACCTAGCTGCCCCATGCTTTGTTCTTTTAAGACAGAAGGGCAAAGATGGAGTGATAGTGGCAGTAGTCACCCCTTGACAACTCCCTAAAGCTGGGAGAAATGAGGGGAAAAATGTGATGTGGAGAAATGACCTAAGATGAACTGAAGGCTCTAGAGTAAAGTAGAAGGATACTAAGATAGAGAATGACAGTCTTGCAGTTTCCTCTGAGGTACAAGTAGGCCTAGGTAGGGGGCAGCTAGGTGGTGCAGTAGATAAAGCACCATGCTCGGAACCAGAAAGACTTCTCTTACTGAATTCAAATACAGCCTCAACTTGAAAGTATCTTTCAAGTTGTATGACCCCAGGCAAGTCATTTAACTCTGTTTGACTCAGTTTCTTATCCATAAAATGAGATGGAGAAGGAAATGGTAAACCACTCCAGTATCTTTGCCAAGAAAACCCAAATGGGGTCATGAAGAGAAAAGCTGGACAAGACTGAAATGACTCAACATTAGATAAGAAGAACCATTAACAACTGTAGTTCCATCCTGAGGTCTGTGTATTCTATCAGCAAGTTTTTTTAAATTTTTAAAAACATTCTTATTTAAAGTTTTGAGTTCCAAATTCTATCCCTCCCTCCCTTCCCCCCTCCCTTATATAGTAAGCAATCAGATATAGGTTATACATGTGCAATTATGTAAAACGTTTCCATGTTAGTCATCTTATACAAGAAGACTTGAATAAAAGAAAAGAAAAATGAAAGAAATTACCATTAGTCCTTTGAAATTGTCTGGGATCATTCTATTGCTGAGAATAGCTAAGTCATTCTTAGTTCTTCATCAAATAACATTACTGTTACTGTATACAATGTTCTCCTGGTTCTGTTCACTTCACTATGCATCAGTTCATGTAAGTCTTTCCATTTTTTTCTGAAATCATCCTGCTTGTCCTTTTTTATGGCACAATAATATTCCATTATAATCATATACTACAGCTTGTTTAGCCATTCCCCAATTGATGGGCATCCCTTTGATTTCCAATTCTTAGCCACCCCAAAATTTTTTTTTGTACAAATAGGTCCTTTTCCCCTTTTTTGGATGTCTTGGGGATATAGACCTAGAAGTGGTATTGCTAGATCAAAGGGTATGCACAGTTTTATAGTTCTTTAGGCATAGCTCCAAATTGCTCTCCAGAATGGTTGGATCAGTTCACAACCCCACCAACAATGTATTAGTGTTCCAGTTTTCCCACATCCCTTCCAACATCTAACATTTTCCTTTTTTGTCTTATTAGCCACTTTGATAGATAGGAGGTAGAACCTCAGAGTTGTTTTAATTTGCATTTTTCTGATCAATAGTGATTTAGAGCATTTTTTTCATATGTGTATAGATAGTATTGATTTCTATGTCTGAAAACTGCCTATTCATATCCTTTGACCATTTATCAATTGGGGAATGACTTATATGTTTATAAATTTGACTCACTTCTCTAAATATTTATCAATTTGTTGCAAAATTTCCCCCCAGTTTTCTGCTTTCCTTATAATTTTGGTTGCATTGCTTTTGTTTTGCAAAAACTTTTTAATTTAATATAATCAAAATTATCTATTTTACATTTTGTAATGCTCTCTATAGCTTCTTTGGTCCTAAATTTTTGCCTTATCCATAAATCTGACAGATAAACTATTCCATGCTCTCTTAATTTGCTTATGACATCACTCTTTATATGTAAGTCATGTATCCATTTTGACCTTATCTTGGTATACAGTGTGAGATGTTGGTCTATACTAGAGGTTCCCATACTTATTTGGCCTACCAAAAAAAAGAAGTACTTAGCACCCCCCTGGAAATCTACTTTCTTTAACCCTTTTAACAGTTTTTTAAAAAAAAATTTGCATCATTTCAAAAAAAATATAAAATACATATTTTTAAATGATGCATCTTAAATTTAATAATTTATTATAAATTTGTGGATTCTTTCCTACATTGAAATTTTGAAGACACAATATTGTGTCATGTAA